ATAAATAAACAATATAGTCTGTGTGTGCTACAGTGGAAAAATCGGGCTAGTTCTCTTCTCTTCTCCCCTCCCACCCCCCCCACCCCACCGAGGGCACGTGGTTGCCCTCTTCTCCTTGGAAAAAATGAAAGCCGAGCACTTGCAAATGGGGAGACCCTCATCTGGGGGGGGGGAGGGCAAACCCCTTTAAGCTATGCATTTCTCTTCCCCTCTTCCACCAAAACCCCCCTCCCAACCTCTGCATGTCTCTCCAACCAGAAAACAAATAAAAATTCTCCACCAAGACTCTGGGCGATTGGCCCCAGGCAATGTCACCCCTTCCCCAATTTCACAGCACCCCGATCCTTGGACATCAAAGTGTTTTTCCAAAACATAGGGGAAAGAGGCAGGTTTTTTTCCCCCCACCCCACCCCGCTCTCGTTCTCTTTTCCAATGTTTTCCTCTGCTTCTCTTCTGCAGCCATTGTTCCCTTTCTTTCTTTCTGGGGCGTGGGGCTTTCTCCCTCAAATTGAGGGCAGGGGCCGTGCGGGGAGGGGGGGGGCAAAAAATCTGCGCTCTGTTTTCGGGTTTTGGATGGAGAGAAAAAGCACAGCAGCAACTGGGGGGGAGAAGGAGGGTGGGATTACAGGCAGTCCTCGATTTACGATCACAACGGAGCCCAAAATTTGGTGCTAATTTTTTTTTTTTAATTTGATTTATATGCCGCCCTTCTCCGGAGACTCAGGGCAGCTTACAATGTGCTAAGCAATAGCCTTCATACTTTTGTATATTTTATACAAAGTCAGCTTATTGCCCCCACAAACTGGGTCCTCAATTTACCCACCTTAGAAAGGATGGAAGGCTGAGTCAACCTTGATCCTTGGCGAGATTCGAACCTGCAGTAATTGCAGGCAGCTGGTCTTAATAACAGCTTAATAACGGTGCCTTAGACCACTGTACTACCAACGCTTGTCAAGTTAAATTTTTTTTAGCCTGTTTTTACAGCCAGGGAGTCACCACGGTTGTTAAATGAGTCGCAAGGTCGTTAAGCGAATCTTTTTCCCGTGGACTTTGCCTTTCAGAAGCTCGCAAAAGGGGATCACGTGACACCCCCCCCTCCCCAGGGAGGCTACAACCATCATAAATATTTATTTATTTATTTATTTATTTATTTATTTATTTATTTATTGGTTCGATTTACACGCCGCCCTTCTCTGGAGAACTCAGGGCGGCTTACAATGCGTTAAGCAATAGCCTCCATACTTTTTGTATATGTATCAGTTACCAGGTATCTGAATTTTGATCAGTCCTAAGTGTGGAAAAACGGTCGTTAGCCACATATTTCAGTGCGGTTGTAACTGTGAATGGTCACTAAGTGAACTGTTGTAAGTCGAGGGCTAGCTGTACTGGGGTTCCCCCCCCCAAAATTACCGTTTAGTTGCCTAAAATGGTTCAGAAAATCTGATTGCAAGAAGGACTCCCATCCCCAAGAAAAAGAGGAGGAGGAGGAGGAGGAAGAGGAGGAGGAGGAGGAGAATAATAGGAGGAGGAAGAGATGGAGAAGGAAGAGGAAGAGGAAGAAGAAGAATAGGAGGAGGAGGAGGAGGAGGAGGAAAATAAGAAGAGGAGGAGGTGGAGAAGAAGAATAGGAGGAGGAAGAGATGGAGGAGGAAGAGGAAGAAGAAGAAGAATAGGAGGAGGAGGAGGAAAATAAGAAGAGGAGGAGGAGGTAGAGAAGAAGAATAGGAGGAGGAAGAGATGGAGGAGGAAGAGGAAGAGGAAGAAGAAGAATAGGAGGAGGGGGAGGAGGAGGAAAATAAGAAGAGGAGGAGGAGGTGGAGAAGAAGAATAGGAGGAGGAAGAGATGGAGCAGGAAGAGGAAGAGGAAGAAGAAGAAGAACAGGAGGAGGGGGAGGAGGAGGAAAATAAGAAGAGGAGGAGGTGGAGAAGAAGAATAGGAGGAGGAAGAGATGGAGGAGGAAGAGGAAGAGGAAGAAGAAGAAGAACAGGAGGAGGGGGAGGAGGAGGAAAATAAGAAGAGGAGGAGGTGGAGAAGAAGAATAGGAGGAGGAAGAGATGGAGGAAGAAGAGGAAGAAGAAGAGGAGGCGAAGGAGAAGGTGGAGAAGAAGAAGAGGAGGAGGAGGAGGTGGAGGAAGAGGAAAAACAGACCAAAACAAACTGAAGGAGAGATACCGATGATGAGCACGGGAGCTTCATGGAAAGCTGGAATGGGGTTTTGAGCAAAAAAAGCAGAAGAATTATTTAATGCTGGAAGAGGTTTATGAAGAACGGTTGCAGGACCTGGGTATGGTGAGTCTAGAGAAAAAAGAAGGACCAGGGGTGCCAACGATAGCAGCATTCCAGGGTTTGAGGGGCTGCTCCCTAGAAGAGGGAGGGGGCCTCAGCCTATTCTCCAAAGCCCCTGAAGGCAGGACAAGAAGCAATGGGTGGACATTAATCAAGGAGAGAAACAACCTAGAATCAAGGAGAAATTTCCTGGCCTTCAGAACAATTAAGCAGTGGAACAGCCTGCCTCCAGAAGTTGTGGGAGCTCCCATCACTGGAGGGTTTCAAGAAGAGACCTGAACAGCCATTTGTCTGAAATGGGCATAAGGCCTCCTGCTTGAGCAGAGGGTTGGACTAGAAGACCTCCAAAGTCCCTTCCAGCTTTATTCCCCAGCCAGCTTGCTTTAAGATGGGTGGACTTCAACTCCCAGAATCCCCCAGCCAGCTTGCTTTAAGATGGGGGAACTTCAACTCCCAGAATCCCCCAGCCAGCTTGCTTTAAGATGGGTGGACTTCAACTCCCAGAATCCCCCAGCCAGCTTGCTTTAAGATGGGGGAACTTCAACTCCCAGAATCCCCCAGCCACTTCAATTCTGGGAATTAAAGTCCACCCATTTTAAAAGTTGCCAAAAGTTGGAAAAACACTGCCCCTCTACCATTAAATCAGCCGCTATCCTAGATATTCCTGGCCAGGATCTCTGTTTACTTCTTTGGGAAATCAAAAGGAAGAGATTGCTGTCTAAGAACATCCCAAATTTAATACACAGAGGGATGCAGAAGTCATTTTTTTATCAGAACACATCTGGGTCGAGACCGGCTAAGGACACCCAAGAGAACGCAGCTGTTTTCTAGGTTCAAGAAGTTCTCGTTGTACGCTAAGAAGCCACGTTCAAAACGCATTAAGTTTAAACCACCCAAAAACCTAGAGTAATGTGGGAATGCGCCATATCTTCAGCTATAACCAGGTTAAAAGTATCCTGCGAACTGTGCAAACTGTACCTACAATAATTCCTTCCCTCAATTTTACACACCTCCGGAAATACATTCTCCACCCCAACCCCTTGCTGATCCCAGATGCTGGATCCAAAATTCCACCCCCTTTTTTTTCTTCCCCTCTGCAAATTTTCTCCCAGAAAGGGAAAACAAAAACAAACAAACCTTCCTTTGCCCCATAATTTTGGGAAACTTTTGCCGGAGGGCAGCATTTCAGCCTCTGAGACACCCTCTCTCTCCCCTGCCCCACCCCCAGGATAAAAGAGAAATGCTGGTCCATCCATCCATCCATCCATCCATCCATCCATCCATCCATCCATCCATTGCCCTGAGAGGCTTTTGATGGGGAGGAGAGAGGAGGGGACACCATCCTGACCAGTTGCTCCAGAAACTTCCCCCCCCTCCATCCATAGGACCATTGGGTGGGTGGGTGGGGGAAATCACCCCCTTGCCCCACAGCCAGATGGGAGGGGGGTTTCTTGGTCTGTCGTGTGGATGTTTGGGTGGTGAATTTGTGGTGGGCGGGAGTGGGGTTTGTTATGCGTGTTGGACCTGGTCTTTGGGTGTTAGGTGAATTTCGTGGTATGGGTGTATTATGTATACACGTACAATAATAAAGTTATTATTATTATTATTAAAATTGGGGGGGGAGGAATGATGCTCAGGCAGGATCGGGTGGGGGTCTGCGGGAAGGGAGGCTTTGATTCTTGGGGGGGGGGCGGAGGGAAAGCAAGAGAGGAGAGGGGGGGACCCCTGCCCCTGGTCTAGAGCGCAAGGGGGAAGAAGGGAAGGATGGGCCGGCTTTTGTCTATTTGTCGACCCCCATCTCCCCTCCCCTCTCAAGCAAGAGGAGGGGGCCACGGCTGGAAAGGACCGGAGCGCGACTCCCACGTGCCTCTTTGCCCGGGGAAGGGGGAACCCCAGCTTTGCTCGCCCTCCCCACCCCCGCCGCAAAAGGGGTCGCTCCCCATACCCACCCCCGGGGACGGGGGCGCTCTCCCAGAGATGGGGGTCCCCCCTCGGCTGGACCGTGCTTGGGGCACGCGCACATCTGGAGCGCTGTCTATCTCTCTCCCCCTCCCCTTCTTTCTCTTCTCCCCTTTCCCTTTTTCTCCACCCCCCCCACTTTCCCTTTCTCTCCTTCCCTCCCTCCCTCCCGCGCCGTCTCGAGCGCGCGCTCTCTCTCCCCCCCCTCTCTCGCCTCCGCGCGCGCCTCTGGCCAGATGTGCAAGCCAGGAGCCGGCGGAAGGGTCTGTGGGGGGAGGAGGAGGAGGAGGTGCGAAGGCAGGCGGGGGGGCTGGATCTACTTTCTCCCAACCAGCAGCCGGAGAGCCAGAGAGGGGCGGAGTGGGGGGGGGAGAGAGAGGTGGAGGCTGGGTGGGGGGGGGGGCGGGGAGGAGGAGGAGGAGGAGGAGGAGGGAAAGAGAGGGGAGAGCGGCGGGCTGCGACTCATTGTGCGAGCGGGAGGGGAAAGGAGCTGGTGGCGGCGGCGGGAGGAGGAGGAAGAAGAGGAGGAGGAGGAGGAAGAGAAGAAGAGGAGGAGGAAGAAGAGGAGGAGGAGAAGAAGAAGAAGAGGAGGAGGGAGGAAGAAGAGGAGGAGGAAGAAGAAGAAGAGGAGGAGGAAGAGGAGGAGGAGGGAGGAAGAAGAGGAGGGAGGAGGAAGAGTAGGAGGAGAAGAAGAAGAGGAGAAGGAAGAGGAGGAGGAGGGAAGAAGAGGAGGAGGAGGAAAAGAAGAGGAGAAGGAAGAGGAGGAGGAGGGAAGAAGAGGAGGAGGGAAAGAGGGGAGGAGGAGGAAGAAAAGGGCAGCGCTCGCTCGTCCGCAACTTTTTTTTTTTGTTTGCGCTTCAAGGACCCCGCCCGCCTCGAAACGGGGGTTAGGTTGGGGGGGGGGTCGTAGACCTGGGCTTTTCTCCCTCGGAGTTGCAATCTCCCCTTTGCACAAGTTTCCTGCATCTCTCTCTCTCCAAAGGGCAGCGAGGCTGATTTAGGGCTCGGGGGGGGGCGACTTCCAGGGAGCAAAAGAAAAGCCCCTTCCCCACTTTTGTAGATCTCCCTCTCTCTCTCTCTCTCTCTTTTTTTTTAAATCCCCCATTCTGTTTTTTCCCAGTAATTTTTTTTTTTTTTTAGGGAGAGCATCCGGGGTCCTTCTTGGCGACGCCCCCTACCTCCCCCCCTCCACTCCTCCTCCCTTGATCTCCCCTCCCCCAGGGAGGGGGGGGACTCAGCGACCCCCGAGGCTTTCTCCCCCCCCCCTCCTCTTTCTTCTCGCTCCGCCTGCGCCCGGTCCGGGGAAGTTTACCGTAAACTTTGCAAGGCAGCGGCGGCGGCGGCGCGTGGGAATCCCACGCGGGAAGGGAGGGGAAGCGGCGCGCGGGGCCAGGAGAAGCCGAGAGCGCGCTGCAACCCACCTACCCACCCACCCGGGCCGGATAGGACCGGGGGCCGGGCCTTCTGGGTTGGGGAGTCCTCCTTAACCCGCCCCAACTTCGCCTTCTTTTCCCCTCCTTGGATGATGGTTCAGCGGCGGCTTGTGAAATTGGGAAATCGGGGCAGGGGCGGCGGTGGGAGCCAGAGGCAGCCGGAGCGAAGATGCCTTCCGTCATGGAAAAATCGGGGATCCTCTCCAGGAGCCGGGCCAAATCAGCCACCAACGGTACCCACCCCAATTCCGAAGACGAGAGCAGTGAGGAAGAGCACTCGCACGGTGAGCCGACGGGTGGGTGGGGTGGGGGGCGTCGGAGGGAAGGAAGGGGAGCAGGATCGGGGCCCCCGGGGCCCCAGCCGTCTCGACCCCCCAAAAAAAGTCTCCCGGGGGGGGGGAGAAGGAACCAAATGGGGGTGATGATGGACGGGGAGCTGCTTAGAACCTCCTCGCCCTGCTCTGCACCCCACGCGAGGCCATCTGCCTTCGTCCTGGGGGGACACACACGGCGGGTGGGTGCGTGGGGGCTGATCTGGGACCCCCCTCTCTCCCCGGCGCTGGGAAAGAGCCCCCCCCCGGTTTTGGCCCGGGAAAGAGCGTGCCGATGAGCTCCGCGACTTCCACCACCACAACAATAACAATAAGGCGGGTTGGCGGAGAAGGGGATGGGCATCGGGGGGGGGGGAAGGCAGATGGGCCCGGAGTTTATGCGTGGGGGGGGCGTGTGTGTGTGTGTAGGAGAAGGGGAGGCCAGAGGTCTGGGTCGCGGTGGGTAGCCTTGTAACAGACCCCCCCCCTCTTCTCCTCCTCCAGCGTCCCGTGGTTGGGGGCTGCCTGGGTGAGACAATGCACCGCCCTCCCTCTCCCCCCCCCTCTCAGGGGGTGCCCTTTGGGCAATCTCCTTGCCCCCCTCCCTTTGCTTCGCCAATGGGGCGAGAGAAAGGATGCTTCAGGTCGCTGACCACTTCATCCTTCCCCCCCCCCACTCCCCAAAGCCTAAAATTGGGAAGTTGGGCGCTTTGAGAGCGCTCCATTGGGTCCTCCCCCCCCCACTCAGCTCTTGCTCCCCTTTAGGCATGGCCGGGCGGGGGGGGGGGAGAGCTTCCTGCACCGCCGCCTCCACCCCCCCACTCCGCTGGCTTTGTTTAGCATCTCTAGAGGGAGAGGATGTGGATGGAAGGAGCCTCCCCATGGCTCAGAGTGGGGGGGGGGGCTGTTCCTCACGCAGCCAAGATTCTCGGTTGGGGAGGGGGAGAAGCGTGCTTGCAAGGCTACTGCTGGAGGAAGGGGGGGCAGGAAGCCCACCGGCCAGAGAAAGACATCCCCCCCCAAACGAGCTCCTTTTGACTGATTTTTTGCTGGGTAGATTAAGCATCCCTCCCACCCATATTTTGGTCAGCCAGGTTTCTCTGGATCCCTTTGTGGGGAGGGGGGGCCTTCTGGGCAAGCTTTGCAAATTCCACCCCCCCCCAATTACTACTTCCGTGGTGGAGGGGCCGGGAAAGCACAAGCTCAAGCTGCTTCAATGCCCATCTGTCTCTGCTAAGTCATTCCCACCCCATTGAAATATCGCTCACCAAAGGTGGCCAAACCTACCTTGATTCCCCCCCCCACGAAATGCAGAGGAGGTATTGTGCGGGGGGGGGAGGGAGGGAGGGGAAACGGGTTGCATGAGCCCCCTCCCCCTTAGAAGTCACTAGGGAGCGCTACCTGTTTGGAAGTTGAAATGGCTCCCCCCCCCTCCCCAACTCATCCTGGAAAAAAAGAGGCTGGATGGTTGGAGGTTACCCCAATTTGAATCCTTCTGAGAACCTTCTCAGCTGCCCCCCCCTACACCCCCCCCATGTGTTCCTGAGACCTTGTGCCAGGAAGGGAAAGCTTGGGAGCTGCTTGGCATGTCATTGGCTAAATGTTTCCAGATCTTGCTGCTGCTTAGCAGCTGTTTAAGGATATCAAAAGAGGGAGGGAGGGAGAGAGAAGGGAGAAGGGAGAAGGGAAGGAAGGAAGGAAGAGGGAGATGGAGTAATGAAGGGGAAAGGAAGGAAGGGAAAGGAAAGGAGGAAGGAAGGAAGGAGATGGAGTAATGAAGGGGAAGGAAAGGGAAGGAAGGAAGAAGGAGATGGAGTAATGAGGGGAAGGAAGGGAAGGGAAGGAAGGAAGAAAAGGAAGGAAGAAGAAGGAAGGAAGGAAGAGGAGAGATGTAATGAAGGGGAAGGAAAGGGAGGAAGGAAGGGAAGGGAAGGGGGAAGGAAAGGAAGGAGGAGAAGAAGGGGATGAAGTAGAAAAGGGAAAGGAAGGGGGAAAGGAAGGAGGAAGGAAGGAAGGAAGGGTAAGGAAGGGAAGGGAAAGGGAAAGGAAAGGAAGGAAGGAAGATGGAGTAATGAAGGGGAAGGAAGGAAGGGAAAGGAAAGGAAGAAGGAAGGAAGGAAGAAAGAGGGAGATGGAGTAATGAAGGGGAAGGAAGGGAAAGAAAAGAAGAAGGAAGGAAGGAGATGAAGTAATGAAGGGGAAGGGAAGGAAGGAAGGGAAAGGGAAGGAAGGAAGGGAAGAATGGGAAGAAGGAAGGGGAAGGAAAGGGAAGGAAGGAAGGGAAAGAAAAGGAAGGAAGAAGGAAGGAAGGAAGGAAGAAGAGATGGAGTAATGGAGGGGAAGGAAAGGGAAGGAAGGAGAGAGAGAGATGGACTAATGAGGGAAGGGAAGGAGAAGGAAGAGAGGCAGGCAGTCAGGCAGGAGTAACAAAGGGGAGGGAAGGGAAAGGAAAGGACAGAAGGGGAGGGAAGGAAGGAGGGAGGGAGGAAAGAAGAGAGAGGGAGATGGAGTAATGAAGGGGAGGGAAAGGGAAGGGAGGGAAAGGAAGAGGAAGGAAGGAGTAACAAAGGGGAGGGAAAGGGAAGGAAGGAAGAACTAATCAAAAGGACAGCAGCTGGCGGGGTGGGGGGGGGAGGCAGGAATAGACAGGGGGGCCTTAGCAGGTTTCTCAGTTATTCTCCTCTTGTTGTTTTCTGGGGGTGTGTGTGTGGGGGGGGGCATCCCAAAAGGGGCCTTGATTCTCCAGGGCCCAAAGGTTTCAGGGATGGTACGCCTGGAACCCTAAGACAGCAAGCCAGGACCAAGGAAGGTGGGGAGGGGGTGTTTCCAGCCTCAGGGGCTCTTTCCCAACTCTCCTCAAAGCTGCTTCACTTTGGAGAGGGATCAGAGCTTTGATTTTGGGGGGAATATGGGGCGGGGGGGTGGAAAGAAAGCTCCCTCGGGGCCCCAAAGTGGCCCCTACCCAGCCCATCTCCCAACTCCCACCAGCAGGCCAAGCAAGTAAAAACACTGAATGCCACTTTCTTTCCAGGAGGGAAGGGCTGGCCCTGCTACGGGGTGGGCTGGGGGGGCATTCAGGTGAGGGCTTTGGCATGCTGTGGGCAGCGGGGGGGTGGGGGTGGGGCCTGCCATTGTTTTAACACATCTGCAAACCCTCCCCTCCCCCACCCCGCGTCCCTTTCAGCCAAAGCTTTTTTCCTGGAGGGGGGGGCGGGTATGCCCGAAGATGCTCGCAGATGCTCCCGATCCCGAATGGGGGCCAAGAAGCCCAAATGTTGGAAGTGCACTGGGCATCTGAAGCGGGGGGGGGTGGGTTTCCCCTTGGGCAACTTCGGGCACCCTCAGGAAGCCAGCTGTTGTCCTCCCTTCCCCCTCCCTCCCCTCCTCCCCCCCCCGTGTTAACTTGAGAAGCCGGTCCGAGTTTTTTCTCTCTCTCTCTCTCTCTTTTTTTGTGTGTGTGCCCTCTCTTGTTCCTTCGCAGATAGCATGATCCGAGTGGGAGCAGATTACCAGGCAGTCATTCCAGAGTGCAAACCAGGTAAAAAGGAAAAGGGGGGGGGAGAAATAAGGGGTGGGGAGGGGGAGAGCAGGGAAGGAACAAACCACCCCCTCCCACCTCCTTTTCCCAGACTGCAGGCAACTAGGAAAGCTGCTTCCCCCCCCCCAACACTTCTCTTTCCTTCTTTATTCAAACTACATTTGTATATCGGTGATTGCAAGTTACGCTAAATAAATAAAATATCATCCAGGCAGCCAGAAAAGGGGAATTGGGGGTGGGTGGGTTTGACCTCTCTTGACTGCCTTCCTGGCAGTTTCCCCACACCCCTCTTTCCTTTCCCTCTCGCCTCCCCCCCCCCCAGTCTTAAAAGGGGTCCCCCTCTTGAAACACTCCCCCCAGGTCTCCATCCTTGCAAATTCTGCCCTGCCCCCCCTTTAAATTAACCCCTTTGGCTTCTTAGTTAGGGGGCTGCGGTGGAGGTCGAGGCCCTTCTTGCAGGCTGGCCAAGTGTGTGTATTTGTGTGTGTGTTGGGAGGAGCGTCCGTTGTTTAATAAAAAATAATAATAAAAAAAAAAAGACCGAAGCAAGCAGTGAGGATGGCCGCTTAAACAGTGCAGGGAAGAAGGGTGGGGGAGGAGGGGGTGTGAGGGGGGGGACGTCCCTTCCTTGCTTCTTTATCCCCCCTCCCCTCCTTTGGGGGAAGAGGGATTTGGCCTCTCTGCGTGTGTGTATGTGTGTCCTTAATGGCCTCTTCTCCTCTTTTGTCTACCCAGAGAGTCCTGCTCGGTTCAGCAATAAAGAGTTAAAAGGGATGTTGGTTTGGTCACCTAATCACTGTGTCTCGGATGCCAAATGTGAGTGGAAAAAAGCCGGAAAGGCAGCCTCAGATCAATGGCTTTTGCCTTATTGTGACCCCCACCCCCTCCAGTCCGTCCCCCCCACCCACTTATTCCTCCAAGCTATTTTGATCTTCGCGTGAATTAATAGTTGTTGGGGTTTTTTTTCCTCTCTCTCTCTCTCTCTCTTTCGTCCTGCTTGGAGCCCACCCCACTTCCAGAAGCAACCTTGCCCTAGGTTTTCTAGGGGGTGGGGGTGGGGTAGGGGGATAGGGGTGGGTGGGTGGGATTTCATCTATTCCACAGCCTTTGATTGGCAGTCCTCCCTTCCCTCTCCCTCCCTCTAGAAGCAATTATTATGCCGTTCGTGTGCTCCCAGGTTTTTTTTTTTTTTTTTTTTTAAATCTGGCTGGTGCAGGAAGCTGGGGGGGGGGGTTGGGGGGTTGGCAGCAGGAAAGGCAGTTCAGCCTTTGCTGAAAAGCGGGGTTGGAGGTTTTGGGGGGGGTCAGTGTTGGGGTTCGGTGGTCCCCAGGGGTGTTTCGGGGGAGCGCCCGTTAAAAGGATGAGGCTTGGACACCCAGAAGGATGGAGGAGGAGAAGAAGTTGTAGCTGAAATATTTTGCAGCATTGCTGTGAGTTTTTTTTTTGGGTGGAAATGAGGGAGGTGTCAAATACAGGTAGCGCTCGACTTACAACCGTTCGTTTAGTGACCGCTTGAAGTTACAACGGCGCTGAAAAACGTCACTTGCGACCGTTTTTCACACTTAAGGACCGTTGCTGCATCAGGTGATCAAAATTCAGACACTCAGCCACTGACTCGTATTTATGACGGTTGCAGTGTCCCGGGGTTACGTGATTCCCTTTTGCGACCTTCTGACAATTGCAATAGGCCTTTTATATATAGGTGGTAGTCTTCGACTTATGGCCACCATGGAGCCACGACATTTATATTGTTGAGTTCTGCCCCATTTCGTGAACCTTTCTCGCCACAATTCTTAAGCGAATCGCGGCAGTTGATAAGTTAGTTAACCAGGTTGTTAATCGAGTCTGGCTTCCCCACTGGCTTGGCTTAAGGTCACAAAAGGGAGATCACATGACCTTGGGGGACCCAGCAACGGTCGTAAGTACGAACCCGTTGCCAGGTATCTGAATTTTGATCACTACGATCGTGGGGGCGCGACAAAGATTGTTAACTGCAAAAGACGGTCACAAGTCGCCTTTTTTCCAGTGATGTCGTAACTTTGAACAGTCACTAAATGAACTGTCGTAAGTGGAGGACTAACCGTATACTGCTTTAAAAATATTTTAGTGCCCTCGCTGAGCAGCTTACGGAATCAAGCATATTGCCAAAAATCTGGGTCCCTTTACAAGAGCACTGAAGAAAAATGACTTTTTTCCCGTGCCGTTGTAACTTCGGACGGTCACGAAACGAACCGTCATAAATCAAGGATTACCTCTCTCATTTATTCCGGTTATTGCTCCGCCCCCCCCTTCCAGAGTCTGACTTTGCTCTCTTTCTCCCCCTAGTGGACAAATATATCGCCATGGCCAAGGAAAAGCATGGCTACAACATTGAACAGGTAAACAAAGAAAAATAGCATTAAAAGCCCAGCCAAACTTCCCTGGATCGGGGCCCATCTTTCTCCTTTTCAAGTTCAGCTTTCCCACAGGGGACTAGAAACTTATTTTTAAAGGGATTCTCACCTCTTCAGGCTTGGGAGAAACAGATTTTTTTTCCCCACGTCCACATCCACGGTCTCAAATCTCTTTTTTTCTTTCAACAGGCTTTGGGGATGCTATTGTGGCATAAACACGACGTGGAGAAGTCGCTGGCCGATTTAGCCAATTTCACGCCGTTCCCCGATGAATGGACGGTGGAGGACAAAGTCCTGTTTGAGCAAGCCTTCAGCTTCCACGGGAAAAGTTTTGCTCGCATCCAGCAGATGGTAAATAAATGCCCCATTCGGCCTCACCCGGTGGTAGGATGGGGTTTAAACCACCTTACTCTTCTCTTTCTTATCCGCCAGCCAATGAAGCTGATTGACATAATTTGACATAACTATAGCCAATGAAGTTGATTGACATGATAGATAATGAAGTTGATTGACATAACTTGACGTAACTGTAGCCAATGAAGTTGATTGATGTAACTTGACATGATAGCCAATTAAGTTAATTAACATAACTTGACATAACTGTAGACAATGAAATTGATTGACATAACTTGGCGTAGCTTAAGCCATTGAGGTTGATTGACGTAACTTGACATAACGATAGCCAATAAGTTGATTGACATAACAACTATAGCCAATGAAGTTGATTGACGTAACTGGACATAATGATAGCCAATGAAGTTGATTGATATAACTTGACATAACTGTAGCCAATGAAATTGATTGACATAACTTGACATAACTGTAGCCAATGAAGTTGATTGACATAACTGTAGCCAATGAAGTTGATTGATGTAACTTGACATGATAGTCAATTAAGTTAATTAACATAACTTGACATAACTGTAGCCAATGAAATTGACATAACTTGTCATAACTTAAGCCATTGAAGTTGATTGACGTAACTTGACATAACGATAGCCAATAAGTTGATTGACATAACAACTATAGTCAATGAAGTTGATTGACGTAACTGGACATAATGATAGCCAATGAAGTTGATTGATATAATGATAGCCAATGAAATTGATTGATATAACTTGATATAACTGTAGCCAATGAAATTGATTGACATAACTTGACATAACTGTAGCCAATGAAGTTGATTGACGTAACTTGACATAAAGATAGCCAATAAATTGATTGACATAACAACTATAGCCAATGAAGTTGGTTGACGGAACTGGACATAACTGTAGCCAATGAACTTGATTGATGGAACTTGACATAACGATAGCCAATAAAGTTGATTGACATAACTTGACATAACTGTAGCCAATGAAGTTGATTGACATAACTTGACATAACGATAGCCAATGAAGTTGATTGACATAACTGGACATAATGATAGCCAATGAAGTTGATTGACATAACTTGACATAACTGTAGCCAATGAAGTTGATTGACGGAACTTGACATAACGATAGCCAATGAAGTTGATTGATGGAACTTGACATAACGATAGCCAATGAAGTTGATTGACATAACTTGATTCTATAAAAAAAAAAAAGAAGAAAAAAATCAGTGGCAAAAATGAACGCGTGAACGAGATGTTTTCAATTGCAGGGAGTCCTCGACTTACAAACTGTTCATTTAGTGACCGTTCAAAGTTACAACGGCACTGAAAAAAAGGGATTTAGGACCGTCTGTCACACTTAACGACCGTTGTAGCATCCCTGGGGTCATGTGATCAAAGCTCAGATGCTTGGCAACTGAAGTCATTTTAATTGCATTGTGTGAGAAGCCAAACTCACAAGTTTGGGACAAAAGTGTGGATCCAGTGAGCCCTTTACTGAGGGTTGATTATTATACAAAAGCTTAGTTAGAAGCTGGATTTCTTGACCATAGACACTCTCCAGATAAGGCTGACTGGATCATCACTTGCCAACTGATGCACCAATTTCTCTCTCTCTCTCTCTCTCTCTCCATCCATCTCACGTAGCTTCCTGACAAGTTAATCCCCAGCCTGGTGAAATATTACTACTCTTGGAAGAAGACCAGAAGTCGGACAAGCGTGATGGATAGGCAAGCCCGAAAACTGCTCAGCAGGAAGGAAAAAGACGACAGGTGATCCAGTAAAGGGATCTAGTCTGCCACAGGGCACAGGGGGGAGTTTGCTTGGGGGCTTTGTAGAAGGTTATGTCAAATCCCCTTGCCCCCAAAAAAGGTCTCCTGAATCAAATGCAGGCCAAATGCAGCTCTTCAGGGCTCTGTGTGTGTGTGTGAGAGAGAGAGAGAGAGAGTGTGTGAGAGAAAGAGAAAGAGGAAGAGAGAAAGAGGGAGCAAGAGCAGAGAAAAGAGTGAGTGAGAAAAAGTGTATGTGAGTGTGTGTGAGAGAGAGAGAAAGAGAGAGAAAGTGTATGTGTTTCAGAGACAGAACGAGGAAGAGGGAGCGAGAGGGAGAAAGGGGAGAAAAAAAGAGAGAAAGTATGTGTGTGAGAGAGAAAGAAAGAAAGAGTGAGAGTGAGAAAGAGAAACAGTATTTGTGTGAGAAAGAGAAAGAGTGAAAGAGAGAAAGTGTGCGAGAGAGAAAGAGTGAGAGAGTGAGAAAAAGTGTGTGTGTGTGTGTGTGTGTGTGAGAGAGAGAGAAAGTGTATGTGAAAGAGGGAGTGAGAGGGAGAAAGAGGGGAGAAAAAGAGAAAGAAAGTGTGCGAGAGAGAAAGAGAAAATGAGAAAGAAAAATGTGTGTGTGTGTGTGAGAGAGAGAAAGTGTATGTGTGTGTGAGAGAAAGGGAGCAAGAGGGAGAAAGAGGAGAGAAAAAGAGAAAGAGAGAGAAAGAGAGAAAATGTGTGTGTGAGAGAAAGAGTGAGAAAGAGTGTGTGTGTGAGAGAGAGATAAAGAAAGTGAAAGAGAGAGAAAGTGTATGTGAGAGAAAGAGGAAGAGGGAGGGAGAGGGAGAAAAGGGAGAAAAAGAGAAAGCAAGAGAGAAAAGCTTCATCTCAAAATCTTCATTTATTGGAATAGGTATACTGGCACATCTGGGAAAAACCCGAATCTGAGAGTTCCAGGTTTTCCCTCAATAAATCAAAACCCCAAATCCAGCCCCTGCACCCATCAGTCCCTCACAAGGCCCCACTGCAACCACTCCTCCTCCAGATGCAGGGACACCCTGACCTTGACCGAAAAGAAGAATGCTATTATGTCTAACAAAAATCGCTCTATCAAATCACCCCCTCCTACTTTCCCAAGCGCAAGAAGTTGGCAGCGTGGAAGCTTCCGGGGCTTCCAAAGCTGACAGAAAGCGGAAGAGAGAAAGTGTGTGTGAGAGAGAAAGAGAAAGAGTGAGAAAAAGTGTGTGTGTGTCAGAGAGGGGGAGAGAGACAGAGAGAGAGAGAGAAAGAGTGAAAGAGAGAGAAAGTGTATGTGTGTGAGAGAAAGAGGAGAGAGAAAGAGGGAGCGAGGGGGAGAAAGGAAGAGGGGAGAAAGGGAAAGGGAAAGTGTATTTGTGAGGGAGAAAGAGTGAGAGTGAGTGAGAAAGAGAAAAAGTGTGTGTCAGAGAGAGAAAGTGAAAGAGAAAAGGTGTATGTATGTGAGAGAAAGAGGAAGCGAGAAAGGGGAAGCGAGAGGGAGAAAGAAAGGGGAGAAAAAGAGAATGTGTGTGAGAGAGAAAGAGTGAGAAAAAGTGTGTATGTCAGAGAGAGAAAGAGTGAAAGAGAGAGAAAGTGTATGTGTATGACAGAAAGGGGAAGAGAGAAAGACGAAGCAAGAGGGAGAGAGGGGAGAAAAAGAAAAAGTGTGAGGGAGAAAGAGTGAGAGTGAGAAAAAGTGTGTCAGAGAGAGAAAGACTGAAAGTGTAGGTGTGTGAGAGGAAGAGAGAAAGGGAGGGAGAGGGAGAAAGGGGAGAAAAAGATAAAGTGTGTGAGAAAGAGAAAGAGTGAGAGTGAGAAAGAGAAAAAGTGTGTGTCAGAGAGAGAGAGGGGGACAGAGTGAAAGAGAGAGAAAGTGTATGTGTGTGAGAGGAAGAGGAAGAGAGAAAGAGGAAGCGAGAGGGAGGGAGAAAGAAAGAAAGGGAGGGGAGAAAAAGAGAAAGAGAAAGTGTGTTTATGAGGGAGAAAGAGAAAGAGTGAGAGAGTGAGAGAGAAAAAGTGTGTGTCAGAGAGAGAAAGAGTGAAAGAGAGAAAGTGTACATGTGTAAGAGGAAGAGGAAGAGAGAAAGGGAGTGAGAGGGAGAAAGAAAGGGGAGAAAAAGAGAAAGTGTGTGCGAGAGAGAAAGAGTGAGTGAGAAAGAGAAAAAGTGTGTGTGAGAGAGAGAGAGAGAGAAAGAGAGAAAGAGGAAGCAAGAGGGAGAAAGAAAGAGGAGAAAAAGAGAAAGAGATAAAGTATGTGAGAGAGTGAGAAAAAGTGTGTGTGTGAGAGAGAAAGAGGGAGCCAGAGGGAGAAAGAAAGAGGGGAGAAAAAAAGAAAGTATGTGTGAGAGAAAGAATGAGAAAAGTGTGTGTGCGTGTGGAAGAGAGAGAGAGAGAGAGAGAGAGAGAAAGAAAGAGAGTGAATGGAAAGGACGCAGATGAAGAAACAGGCCAACCACAAAGAGGTGTTTTTATGGGAAGTTGTGTCTGAGAAGTGGGAAACAAACTAGGATAAACCCCCAATTAGATGGAAACAGGATCTAGGATGAGAAGCTCTGGGGTGGCTGGAGAAGACTCCGCTCACAAGTGCCACATTTTCCCCACAGCAACGATGAATTAGAAGACGCACGGCAGGCCAGCGAAGGGGAATTTGATGCCATGGATCCCAAGAAGGAGGTAAGGGACCGGGAAGGCTCGAACACGCAGCCGGGGTCCAGCAGGGTACCAATACAGGTAGGTCCTCAACTTACAACTTTCCGTTTAACGACGGTTGGAAGTTACAATAGCCCGGAAGAAAATGGGCATTTTTCATGAGCCTCGCAGCGTCTCCCGGGGTCAAAATTCCAGGACTCTTGGCAACTGACTCATATTTATGACGTTGCAATGTCCCCTTTTGTGACCTCCCGAACAGCAAAAGTCAATGGGGGGAGGGCGGGGGGGGGGGGGGCAAAGCCGGATTCACTTAACAACCGAGTTGCTAACTTAACCCAACGACTGTGGCGAGAATGGTTGTAAAACGGAACGAAACTCACTTCGCAAAGGTTCTCGCTTAGCGACGGAGTTTTGTTCGTCAGTCGAGGACTACCTGTACCAGATCAAGACCCAGAGGTGGGTCTCCACCCCGTTTCATCTCTCGCTCTTCTCTCTCTCTCTCCCCCCCTCAGCCTAGTTATCCGAAGCCCCCCAGCAGCAAACCTGGGCCAATGAAGAAGGAAGTGCAGCTACCCCAATATCGGCACCACCCTCTCCGTGCCCGCCGGCGCCCTCCGAAGGGCATGTACCTGAGCCAAGAAGGCATCACGGGCCTCTCCACCAGCCCTGACATGGCCGTGCTCACCTTGCGCCATCTGGACTCTCAGCTGGTTTCCCTCAAACGCCAGGTACCCAGTCCTATCAATCAAATCCAATCCCAAAAATCTTGCAGCTTTTTTTTTTTTTTAAATTTTATTTGAACAGGGCCCTTATTTTCAATGGTGTCTTCGGCAGCCGAGGATTGCTAAAGTGAACAATGGTGCAGGAGAGAAGCTGAGTTTAAACGTTGGCTTTCTCCCATTTGAAGTGAATAGGATTGGATAGGGATAGAATAGAATAGAATAGAATAGAATAGAATAGAATAGAATAGAATAGAATAGAATAGAATAGAATAGAATAGAATAGAAAGTGGAATGGAATAGAATAGAATAGAATAGAATAGAATAGAATAGAATAGAATAGAATAGAATAGAATAGAATGTGGAATGGAATGGAATGGAATAGAATAGAATAGAATAGAATAGAATAGAATAGAATAGAATAGAAAGTGGAATGGAATGGAATGGAATAGAATAGAATAGAAGAATGGAATGGAATGGAATAGAAGAATGGAATGGAATGGAATAGAAGAATGGAATGGAATAGAATAGAATATGAAAAATAGATTAGGGATAGGGATAGGATAGGATATAGGATAGGTTAGGAAAAATAGAATAGGGATAGGATAGGAGATAGGATAGAATAGAATAGGGATGGGGATAGGGATAAGGATAGGATAGGATAGAGGAGAGGAGAGGAGAGAATAGGAATAGGAATAGAACAAAACAGAACAAGTAGAGAAAAGAATATGGTAGAATATAGAATAAGAAGTAGAGAATAGAATACAGAATAGAATCGTAGACTAGAATAAAATAGAATGTAGACTAAAATAGAATAGAATATGTAGAGAATAGAATATAGAATGGAATGGAATGGAACGGAACGATATGGAATAACAGAGTTGGAAGGGACCTTTGGAGGTCTTCTAGTCCAACCCCGTTTAGGCAGGAAACCCTACACCACTTCAGACAAATGGTTGTTCAATCTCTTCTTAAAAAGCTCCCAGTGTTGGAGAACATTCACAACTTCTGGTGGCAAGGAGTTCCACTGGTTAATTGTTCCGTCAGGAAATTTCTTCTTAGTTCTAGGTTGTTGGTACTTTTACCTCCAGCTCCTTTTGGGTCTCCTCCTCCCATCCTTTAAGCTTGTGGGGTGCTTCCTGCCCCCAAACTTGGAAACCCCGTTCTGAGACCCCCCCAATCCTTTTCGTGCTAGGTGCAAAGCATCAAACAGATCAACAGCAGCATGAAGCAGGCACTAGGCGAAGGGATACATAAACTGCGCCCAACGGAGGTGAGTGTTCACCTGTGTGCCGATGCGGGAACCCCAGGGGTCCAACTTTGTGCTCCCCAAAATAGGAGGTAGTGTAATAGGCGGAATATTACTTGTGTTTATTTAAGAGTAAGGGAGCCATTTTGGTTTAGCCTGGTTAAGGCTCCAGGCTGGAAACTAGGTGGGGTGAGTTCTAGTCCCGCCTTAGGTGTGACATTCGACCGGGAGACTTTGGGCCAATCACCAAGAGGCAATGAGTTCTAGTCCCGCCTTAGGCATGAAAGACAACTGGGAACTTTAGGCCAATCACCAGGAAGCAATGAGTTCTAGTCCTGCCTTAGGCACAAAAGATGACTGGGAACTTTGGGCCAATCACCAGGAGACTGTGAGTTCTAGTCCCGCCTTAGGTATGAAAGACTGGGAACCCTGGGCCAATCACCAGAAGACTGAGTTCTAGTCCCGCCTTAGGTATGAAAGACTGGGAACTCTGGGCCAATCACGAGAAGGCAATGAGTTCTAGTCCTGCCTTAGGCACAAAAGATGACTGGGAACTTTGGGCCAATCGCCAAGAGACTGTAAATTCTAGTCCCGCCTTAGGCATGACAGCTGACTGGAAGACTTTGGGCCAATCATCAGTAGACCATGACTTCTAGTCCCGCCTTACGCTTGAAAGCAGACTGGGAGGCTTTGTGCCATTAACTCCGTCTACCCACCTCGCAGGGTTGTTGTTATTGTACGAGGAAGAAGAGGAGGCGGGAGTATTAGACACGTTCACCGCTTTCCGTTACTTATCAAAATAACAAACGTGGATGCAGAAATAAATTTAGAAGCTATAGAAATTCTATTCATGCCGTAGTATTTGTGTAACTGAGTTGGGGGCAATATTTGGACAGAGGATTGGGGGGGGGGGCAGAGGCCTTCCTGGTTTTGGGATACCAAAGTGCTCTGGTGCATGCCCCCCCCTCCGAGATTCAATTCAAACCTGTAATTTTGCAGACTAACATCAAGTTCAATTCCCGCTGGACAACCGATGAGCAGCTGCTGGCAGTGCAGGGTGAGTTTTCCCTAGGAAGATTTGGGGGGGGGCTCTAGCCCACCCACCCAGTAGGATCAATAAGCAGCACTTTCCCCCTGGGGGCACCCCTGGGAGGCTTTGTCCCCGAGTTCTGACGGAGGGCGCTGTCCTCTTCAACACAAGAGACGGGGAAGCCACGCTCTGCTGGTCGGTGCATGAACAGGCTGTCCTGTTCAACCTTGGCTTTTCTCCTTTCCCCCCTGCCCCCCCCTCCCCCCCGTCAGCCATCCGGAAATACGGCAAAGACTTTCAAGCCATCGCCGAGGTGATCAGCAATAAGACGGTGGCGCAGGTGAAAACCTTCTTCGTCAGCTACCGCCGGCGGTTCAACCTGGAGGAGGTGCTGCAGGAGTGGGAGGCCGAACAGGAGGGCCTAAGCCCGGCCCCCGCCCAAGGCAGCTCGTCCCCCCAGGAGCAGAAGAGCAGCAGCGAGGAAGAGGACGAGGTGAGGGGAAGGCTTCGGGGTGCCGGGCGCCGTTGGGGTACACGCCACGGCGCTGACATCGTTCCTTTGGTCCCTGCAGGTCCAGATCACCGCCGTATCGCGATCTGCGCAGCCGCCTCCAACCCAGCTGGCCCAGCCGCCTCCTGCACTTCCCCCCCTCCCTGCCTCTCCCCGCCCTCCCCCTGTGGCGCTCTCCCAGCCTCCCCCCTTGCTGAGGCCCACCCTGCCCACCGCACCCATGCTGCACCGCCAGCCGCCGCCCTTACAGCAAGGGCGTTTCCTCCAGCCCAGACTTTCGGTCAACCAGCTGCCGCCTCCGCTCATCCGGCCCGCGGGGTCCCGCCAGGCTCCGCCGCGAGGAGCCCAGCACCCTCCATCGCTGCTCAGTGGGACAGGAGAGCCGCCCCCTCTACCCTCCTTGGGGTCCCTCTGAAGGGGGACCCCTCTGCGCCAGTCTCGTTGCGGCTCCGGTGGGTGGGGTTCAGCTGGGAATGGTACGAGCCCACCGGAGTGGGTTGGAGGCAGTGGGGAGGGGAGGAGGTGGGGTGGGCAGGAGAAAGGGGAGGGGGTCTTTCCACTCCTGCCCTCCCCTCCATCGCGGAGAGCTGGCAGTCCTGGATGGGGTAATGCTGGAATTGGGGTAAGGGGTTTGGTGGGATAATGAGAAAACAGTAGAAGATGTAGCTTGGAATAGGACTGGACTGAGTACTTTCCACTGCTTGAAAAGAAGGGGAGGATGATGAATTGAGGGGGAGGAGAGAAAAAAAGGGGGGCTGTCTGCCCAATTTTGTGGTGGGGGGAAGAGGCCAAACTGCTCCAGAATCAGAAACCCCCATTCCGAAGTACGAAGACTTGGAATTTCTACAAGGACGACCGGAAAAAAAAAAGAGGATTGAAGTCGGATCTGCTCTGTACTTACTCATCGCTCTCCTCCTGGAAGCAGTGTGCGAGCATCGGAGGCCAGCTGTGGGTCGCCTTAAGAGGAAGAAGAGGACCATTTACGTGCCCCCCCAAACTTTCTGAGAACCTAGCAGCTCCCCCCCCCCCACTCTTCCCTTCTGCCGGCAGCTCAGCGCCGGCGTCTTTTTAGAGTCCACGCGGCATTTTCAATAAAAGATATTTTGGTACAAGCTTCGGGATGGTGCTTGACTGGAAGGGGGGCCAGGGGACATCCCTCCCCCCCCACCATCATTTTGGCCAATCCACAGCTTGGGACATTCTCCCAAGGAAGAGCCCCCCGCCCTACACCTTCCCCCTCCCCATCATTTTGGAAAAACAAGCTCGGAGCATGTGCTTTTTATTTCTTTGGCTTTAATAAGAAACCGGCCAGAGTCTCCCAGAGATGCACAGGTTGTCTCAACTTTGGACCGGGCTGGAGCGGAAAGGAGTGTTTTCCCCACCCCCCACCCCCTTGCTGGTCCCGAGTCCTGGGTGGGGGGAGTGAGGTGGGGGGGGGACTGGAGCAAATGTGGAACCAAAAACAGGAATCCGACGCTAGATAGGTGCTTTCTGGAAAGTTTTAATCTAGAACCTGTAAAACTACATCAAACGGCAGCATCCTTGAGAGAGAGAGAGAAAGAGAAAGAAAGAAAGAAAAAAGAGAGAGGGGAAGGATGGGAGGGGAAGAGAATGACCCCCCCTCCCCAAAAGGACATGATCTTCTTTCTTTTTTTTAAAAAAAGGCAATGTTGTGATGAGAAATTAAAACGAAACCAAAAAAAAAAAAAAAAATTATAACCACTCACAAAAAACCGAGGTATCAGTACAGTTATATACAAACCAGGTGTGTGTGTGTGTGTGTGTGTCAGAGAAGGTGAAGGGCTGCAAAGCCCCCTCCCCAGGACCAAAAATACATTCTCAAGAGGGAGGGGAGGGGGCAATGTGACAACGAAAAGAAACCCAGAGAGAGCGAGGCCCCCCACCGAAGAGAAGTCTCCGTCTTTTTTTTTTTTCTCTCCTTTTGCTCTTGTGCTTTGGAAAGGGAAATAAAAATTGGGGGGAGGGGGCAGGGGGAACAGAAGCCATGGGTCCCCCATCCCCACAGTTTTCAGTAGACGGCAACCCGAGCTCTCCAGAAAGCCGGGTTGGGGGGGGGGCAGCGTACCTGTGACCAGGGGATAAAAAAAACAGCAGGCCCAAAGCTTTTCAACCCATCCTGAACACCCAAAGGCTTTTTGCCCGAGAAAATTGGGGTGTGTGTGTGTGAAAACCCCCTCGGCTGTGGGCCCCCAACCCCCAGCAGGCTTGTTCCATAGCCAGCTTCTGGCGCCCCCACCCACACCCCTCCCGCCATGTTTGGGCCCACGGGAAAGACATGCCGGGAAGGGGGAGGGGGGTGGGGGAACAGAAGGCTAAAAAACCCCAGAGTGGGGTTGTGCAGCATTCAAGACAGGAAACAGGACTCCATTGTGACGTTGTGTGTGTAAACAGGGCGCTGCTGACCAGCCCAGAGTGGCCCTCTTACCGCCATGCCTGTATAAAGGGGAGGGGACATGGGGAGGGGGGACAAAGGAGTGACGGATCAGGTTGCTGTGCGGATCTCGGGACAGCCACCAACCCCCAACCCTCCCTCCGTTCAACCCCAACGGCGGCTCCCCTCAATTAGCAAGGAAGAAACAAAAAAACCTTGGGAGGATTGCCGGGTCTTTGTTTGCAGTGTGTGTGTGTGTGTTGAGGTGGGGGTTGTGTCATCTGCAGGGACCAGGAAGTGTCCCTTGGCAGGGCAGCAAGGAGGCACTTGGCTTCCATTGTTGGCTGGCGGGCACGCGACCCTCGGCTCCCCCGTTTCCCCAGTGAAGGGGCCCCCGGCTGCTGCTCTGCCCCCACACCTCACCATCCCAACCGCCTCCTGCCACAGCTGCCATCCTCCTCCGCCGACCCGGGTTGCAAACCCGGAGGTGGGCAGGGTGGGGGAAAGGACCCCCCCCCCCCGCTCACCAGGGAGGGGGAAAGAGTCCCTGCTTTTCTGTTGCAGTTTGGTAGCATGGCAAACCCTGTCTCGTGTACAAGAAGGAAAGGAGGGGAAAAAAAGGGGGGAGGGGGAGAAGGAAGGAAGGAAGAAGAAAAAAAAAAAGGAGGAAGAAAAAGTACCACGGTCGCCACGGAGACCAAAAGGGATGCTTCCTCATCCGACAGACAGCCCTTGGTACCCTCCCGTTCCTGTTGCCACGGAGACCAGCTAGGTGGCTGCCAACCACAATCCCACGCACCCTGTCTCCATGGAGATCCATCAGTGGGAGGGGGGGCGCGGGGAGATGGAGAGGCATGTGAGTGGGGGGGGTATACCCCCCCACCTTCCCTCCCTCTTGCCCTACCCACCCCCTTTTGCCTGCATAACCCCTCTCAAAAGCGAAGTCGCGGCTCTCTTCCTCCTGATGCTCCCACCTCCGGTCGCGCGTGTGTGCAGGCCAGGCGCCCCCCTCCCACCCCCCTCTTTCTCCCCGGGGTTGGGCCCCGTTAAAGCTTGAGTTCGTTGGCGATTTTGGAGGCAATGTTCTTGAAGGCCATGGAAGTGCCCGATATCCGCTTGAAGCGGACGCCGTTGAGCGAGAGGCGGGGCAGTTTGCAAACTTCCATCTCCCACTGCACGAAAGCTTCGTGGCCCGGCGCCCCGTGCATGCACAAAAGCATGTATTTCTCCTGCAACTCGCACTGGCAACTGTTCGCGTCCAGCACCTTCCGAATCTCTTTCATCATCTCGTTGGGCTCCATGGAGCTGGTGGTCTTCATGCTCCAGGTGAAACGCAGTGACCGCGGCTTGGCGTCCCGGTTCTCGTCCCGGTCTTTCTCGCCCCCGCCGCCGCTACCCATCATGTGAGGCCTGCCAGGGGGGGAGGAGAAAGGGAAGAAAGGGTGAGGAGAGAGGAGGAATCCCTCCCCCCCCGCCCATCTGACTGGCATCAGCGTGCTGCTCAGTCCGATCCGTGACCCAGAAGAGCTGGGGGTGGTGGGGGAGAGATGGAAAGAGAAAGAATTAGAAGAGGTAGAGGAGACGGAGAACTGTGGGGTCCTCGGTGTTCTCTGAGCGTGGTTGTTTTCTTGCCGACATTTCATTACCAGACTAGGTAACATCATCAGTGCTAAACTAGAGGTGGAAGGAAGAGGAAGTGGTGGTGGTGGTGATGGAGGAGGAGGAAGAGGAGACGGAGGACTGTGGGGTCCTTGGTGTTCTCTGAGCGTCGTTGATTTCTTGCAGACATTTAATTACCAGACTAGATAACATCATCAGTGTTAAACTAGAGTTGGGAGGAGGAGGAGGAGGTGGTGGTGGTGGAGGAGGAGGAAGAGGAGGAGGAGGAGGAGGACTGTGAGGTCCTTGGTGCTCTCCAAGTGTGGTTGTTTTCTTGCAGTCATTTTATTACCAAACAAGGTAACATCATCAGTGCTAGAGGTGGGAGGAGGAGGAGGACTGTGGGGTTCCTTGGGGTTTTCTAAGCGTGGTTCTTTTCTTGCAGACATTTAATTACCAGACTAGGTAATATCATCAGTGCTAGGCAGGAGGAGGAGGAAAAAAAAAAAGAGAGAGAAAGAGGTCAGGGCAACGAAGAGGTGTAAGAATGGAGGTAGGTGCCAAGGAGCAGCCTGGCCCTGTCGGAGAAACAGACCGAGTGGACCCAGGGTGGGAAACCCCGCCCAGCCCTGGCTGCGTCTCACCTGAGGGTCTCCACGCGGTCTTTGTTTTCGGGCTCATGCAGGTTCCTCAAAAAACAGAGCAGGAGACAAGCCATCAGCACCCTCCAGTTAGCACTTCCTGCCCCTGGTTTTTCTTTTCTTTTCGCCCAAGCCATGGGGAAGGGGGGGAGGGCTTCAAGGCATTCGAGGGTGGGGAGGGGGGCTAAAGTATGGTGCCCCCCCCCAGGCAGAGCAGACAGCCCCTCTCGGTGGCTGTTCGGCATGCTGGGATCAGCCAAGGCAGCCTTTTGGGGGGTGGGGGGTGAAGCTACTGGATCAGCCTTGGGTTTGTTTGGTTGGGTGCAAGCACCGTTTCTCTAATCCATTCCCGCAGAGCAGAAGCCACGGACAAGCAAGGAAGAAAGGAGGAAGGAGGAGGAGAAGGAGGAGCTACTTGGAGTGGGGGAAAACAGGCTGAGCCACGGAATGAGGGGACTCCTGGTCTGGATGCTATGTCTGCCATGAACCCCAACTGGGCGGTCTTCAAAAGAGACAAGAGAACCCCCAAGCCTTTCCTTCGAAAAGTTTTGCGGCGGCTGAATTGTCTCTCTTGGGCATGACAGAAGTGGGGAAATGGCGGCATTTGTGGGAAGCTACCGTGTCAAATGAGTTTCATCTCCTTTCGCTTTGGGTCTAACCCTGCCAGTTTTGGGGAGCGCTCCCCCAAACCCAGGATGACTCAGAGGCCTTCTTTCCTGCCTCTCTTTCTCGTTCATTTCTCTCTCTCTCTCTCTCTTTCCTTTCTTCTCTTCCTGTTTCTTTTCCTTCTTTCCATTCTCCTTCCTCTTCCTTCCTTGTTTCCTTCTTCCTACCTTCCTTCCTTTTCTAACCCCTTTCTGTTTTGTTTCCTTTCTTCTCTTCCTTTTTCTTTTCCTTCTTTCCATTCTCCTTCCTTTTCCTTCCTTGTTTCCTTCTTCCTTCCTTTTCTAACCCTTTCTTTTTTCTTTTTCTTTTGTTTCCTTTTTTCTCTTCCTTTTTCTTTTCCTTCTTTCCATTCTCCTTCCTTTTCCTTCCTTGTTTCCTTCTTCCTTCCTTTTCTAATCCTTTCTTTTTTTTTGTTTTTCTTTTGTTTCCTTTCTTCTGTTTCTTTTTCTTTTCCTTCTTTCCATTCTCCTTCCTTTCTCTTCCTTCCTTGTTTCCTTCTTCCTTCCTTTTCTAACTCTTCTTTCTTTCTTTCTCTTTTGTCTCCTTTCTTCTCCTCCTTTTCCTTCTTTCCATTTTCCTTCCTTTTTCTTCCTTCCTTTCATTTACGTCCCTTGTTACTCCTTCCTTCCTCTCTTCTCCTTGAAAAATCTTTCGCTTCTCATCCAAGAAGAACTGAAGAAGCTTCTTGGATGAGAAGCGAAATGTTTTCAAAGCCCAAGAAAGTCCAGTTGCCTTTTGCAAAAGCAACTACGATGGAAGTGCTGGTCTGCTCCCAATTCTTTTCTGTGCCCACCCCCCCTTGAAAGGGTGCCCTTTCGCCCTGCAGATCACTTTCAGGAGGCGCTCTCGTGCGCGAGCATCGCACACCCCTGTGCAAAAGGGAAAGCGAGGCACCGCAAGGGCACTTCTGGGGCTGCTCACAGTTTGAGACTCCACCTGCCAAGACAATGGATGACTTCAGTTTCTCTCGCAGCCGGCCCAGTTTCCCTCAGCAGAGAGTTGCAGGTTGAGGAAGGGGGGAGGGCTATCTTGTAATACCTCCCCTCTGTTTTTGGGGAGGGGGGGAATTACATACATTCGCACATACATACCCTCTGTTTTGCCCCAGCTCTGCGCCCCCCCCCCCCAAGAGAATGTCTCTGGGTCAATTTTAAAGGTCAACACTGTTGCTGTAACAAGGTTGAGATGCTGAAGGTTGAAATAAAAAAGGTAATTTCTTTCTTTCTTTCTTTCTTTCTTTCTTTCTTTCTTTCTCTCTCTCCACTCTTCCATCCCTCTTTCCTTCCTTCTTCTTTTTTCTTTTTTCTTTCTCTCTCTCCACTCCTCTCTTTCCTTCCTTCCTTCTTCCCTCCCTTTTCTTTTCTTTCTCTCTTCACTCCTCTTTCCTTCCTTCCTTCTTCAATCTTTTCTTTCTCTCCACTCCTTTCCTTCCCTCCTTCTTCCTCCCTTTTCTTTTTCTCTTTCTTCTCTTTCTTTCTCTCTCCACTCCTTCCTCCCTCTTTTCTTTTTTCGTTCTTTCTCTCTCCACTCCTCTCTCCTTCCTTCTTCCCTTTTTTCTCTCTCTCTGTCCACTCCTCCCTCCCTTTCCTTCCTTCCTTCTTCCCTCCCCTTTCTTTCTTACTTTCTTTTTTTTTTTCTTCCTTCCCTTCCTTTCTTTTCCTTCCTTCATTCCTCCTTCCCTCCCCTCCCTCCTTCCTTCCTTCCTTCCTTTCTTTCTTTTCTTTCTTTCTTTCTTTCTTTCTGTGCAAAGGACTGTCACGAAGCAGGTATTGCTGAAGCAAAGGCTGGGTGCTTGGAAAAAACAACAACACCTAATTCTGCTTATTTTCCGCTTAAACTGGACTTAATCCAAGTGGCTGAAGCTGGCTTGATTCCATTTATTTAAGTCTGGCATCTCGCAGCTCACACGCGACTCTGTGGAAGTGACGGCTGAAAAGTGACAGCACCATTTCCTCCTGATCGGAGAGAGGAAACATATGGGAACTACCGCATGAGACCTAGCTTGCTACACACCAGGCAGTTCCCCACTTATGGACGGTTCGTTTAAGTGACCGTTCGAAGTTACAACGGCACTGAAGAAAGTAACTTTTTCAAACTTACGACCGTGGCAGCATCCCATGAGCAAAATTCAGACGCTTGACAGCTGACTCATGTTTATGACAGTTACAGATGTCCCCCGGGGTGGGGGTGTCATATGATCCGCTTGTGCGACCTTTTGACAAGCGAAGTCAATGGGGGAAGCCACTGAGTCACTTCGCAACTGTGTGACTCACTTAACAACTGCGGTGATTCACTGAACAACTTGTGGCAAGCAAGGTTGCAAAACGGGGCGAAACTCAACTGAACGAATGTCTCACTTAGCAACAGAAACTTTGGGCTCGATTGTGGTTGTGCGACGAGGACTAACCTATACAGCCCAAAAGCTAGATTTCTCTCTTTATTTTAATCCCAGCTTTCCTATTGCTTTATTTTATTCAAGGTGGTAAACGAACCTAATCCTTCCTCCTCCTATTTTCCCCACAACAACAAGGTGGGTAGGGCTGAGAGAGTGAGAGAGGGACTGGCCCAAAGTCACCTGGCTGGTTCTCCACGTCTAAGGCAGGACTAGAACTCTCAGGCGCCTGGTTCCTAGCCCAGCACCTTAACCACTAGGCCAGGGATCTCCAACCTTGGCAACTGATCTCACTGTATTTTTTTTTTCCTTGAAAAGAGATCACTGCAACCCACACCACGGATAACATCTTCCCATTGGGGTGTAACCCCCCCCACAAGGCCCCCGTTTTCATCCCCCAGGGAGGGCTATGAAGTTCCGCGGATGGGCCGGGTGCCCGTTTGCCACCTCCCGCAAGCTAAGCCTGAACCTTCAAGGCAGCGTCCAGCCGCAGAGCAGAGGGACAGCCCAGCTTCTCCTAACCGCCACCATGCAGGGAGGAGGATTAGTGTGGGGAAGGAGGAAGGGGGAGGGGCGCGGGAGGGGGGGAGAGATTCTGGTTAGAAAGAGCAGAGGCCCAGCCAAGGCAAAAACTACGAAGATGGAGAATCACCTTTAAAGAGACAGCATTCTCGGACGCTAAATCCCAGGCCAACCAGTTTTCTGGCGACCCAGATGGGACAGAATAGAAACAGCCTCTCCCACATCAAAGTGGGCTTCCCTGTCTGCAGGCTGAGAGCTAATGAGCCCTTCCCCCCCCCAAACTGTCCCTTTAAGGGTGCCCTCTGCGTTCACACACAGCCACCCTTGGCCACCATGGGTTGTGGGGAGGGAGAGAGAGAGAGAAACAGAGAGCGAGAAAGAGAGAGCGAGAGAAGCTGGCAGGGAAGAGGTGAGTGTTGCACAAGAGGAAGAAGGAAAAAGAACAAATTCCAGAGTGACAAACGCCTACCTTCTGGCAAACCTGAAAGACAGATTTCTAGAAGGGGAGGGGGTAAAAAAAAGGGAGGGGGGAGGAAAAAAACACGGTGGTGGGTGGATGAGCAAGCGTGAAAGTGTGAAATGAACAAGCCGTGGATCCCGGAATAGGCCAGTGCCCCCATCTTCCCTCCCCAGATTGGGCTGGGGAGGGGGGTGTCTTTGAGGAAAGGGAGGCTGACGCGAACACTTCCCCTCCCCCCCATTTTTCGTTCCTTCTGTCCAACACAGGAAGACGAGCGGCCTCCCTGTGTCCCAAATTGGGACTGTCCGGGAGGATGAGGTGGGGGGCTCCCCAAAAGCCTTGGTGACTTCTTTTGGAAGGCGAGGAGGAGTGAGGAACCCGGGGTTGCTGGGGTCACCCCTCCTCCTTCCCACCCCATATCCCCTTCTGGCTGGAGGCTGCCCAGAGTAGGACCCACAGAAGGATGGGGTGGGTTGGGAAGGAGGGCAGGCAGGGAGGAAGGTAAAACATACAGCAAAAGAAAAAGGAGGCTGGAGACAAGAGGTGCTGGACTGCAGAGAGGTGGGTCCCCCTCCCCCCTCCCATTCTCAAACTACCTCCCCTCCCCTTGGGGCCTTGCGAAGAAGAAGGAAGGTTTACAAAACAGCCTCTCGGATACACACACACACACACACACACACACACACACACACACACACACACAGGCTGGCAGGGGAATTCTGGGAGCTGAAGTCCGCCCATCTTAAAAAAACGCCCAAGGTTGAGAAACCCTGGGGCTACCTTGGCTAAAGTGGCATGTGGGCAGCTATGGCTGGGGTACCCCCACCCGGAAACTTTACGGGGTGAGGACAATTTCGCTGCACGGCTGAGATCAGGGAATGGCAGGTTCTGGGGTGGAGGGGAAGTGGGGATTTCGAATTGCAATTCGCCAGAACCAAAGGCGTTGGAACAACCATTTGTCTGAAACGGTATAAGCTGGGGGAGGGGGGGGATGGACTAGAAGACCTCCAAGGTCCCTTCCAACTCTCGTTATTCTTACTTACAGGGTGCTGTTATCAGGAGCCATCTCCGCCCACCCCATCCCGGGTTTTGCAGTGACAATTATGGCTAAGCCATCCTGAATGATAGCTTGTCACTCCCCAGCTGAGCTACCCCAAAGATAGTCTCCCCTTTTGGGGGTCTGGGGGGGGCAGACTTCTAGGCTTCGTCAAGGACAGGTTGTGCTCCCACCCTGTGGAGCCCTGGGGGGGGGGGAGCATTTGAAAGCTGGGTGGGCTCGTCTCCCCAATGAATGGAAAGAGCCGACGGCAGCTTGGATTCCTGGAGAGTGTGCGATTCGAGCATGGACAGATAACCATAGCAATAGCAGCGGTATATAGAGGTATGTAGAATTCTATACTGCTTCGCAGCCCTCTCTAAGTGTTTAAGAGTCAGCCTCTTGCCCCCCAACAATCTGGGTCCTCATTGTACCGGCCTTGGAAGGACGGAAGGCTGAGTCAACCTTGAGCCTGGGGAGATTCGAACTGCCAAATTGCAGGCAGCTGGCAGTCAGCAGAAGTAGCCTGCAAGTACTGCACTCTAACCACTGCACCAGATGGCAGACAATGGAATGTGGGGGCTGTGACAGGAAGGGAGGAGGGAGAGGGAGGGGCAGCGGGGGTCCAACGCACACAAAGACTCAGCCAACATGCGCCTCTCGGAGCCACAGAAATGGAAGAGGGGAGGGTCCTTGTCTCACTCCGCCTCCCCCCCGCCATGCAGTCACGCCACCCAGGATGCACTGGGGGTCCCCCCCACACACACTTTGGTGCCTCCCCCTCCCCTCCCTGGCTCACCTGCGTACGAACTTGGAGGTGAACTTGCTGAAGAGGCTGCCCGAAGCTCCTCTTCGGCCTTGGCTGTTGCCGGAAGGCGAGGCGGGTGTCAGGCCGTAGGAGAGGTTTGGTTGGTCACGGACCGGCCGGAGCTGCCCGGCATGGAAAGTGCTGCGGCTCTGTATGCCTCGCGGGAAGTTGGTGCGCTCGGGGAGGGCGCTGCTGATGTTGTGGGCGGAAGGGGAGGCCACGGGAGCCCGCTGGGGGGCCGTGCTGTGGGGGGGAAGGAGAAGAAGGAGGTCAATCAGGGGAGGCCAGACCGAGAGACCCTCCACCCCGCTGCCTTGGGGGGGGTATGTCAGCGAAGGGAAAGAGAGAGAGAGAAGCCACGTTCTACCCATGAATGCTGGTTTGGGATTCCTGGGGAGGGACGAGCAGATAGCAGATCCGTTGGGTAAGGTTGGGAGGCCATTTTAGGTGGTATCTCAAGGGGCTCTCCCCCAAGGCTGTAGATGGAGGAGGCTTCGATAGTGATGGTGGGGAAGCTGGATTCACTTAACGACTGAGGCCAAAAAGATTGTGAAATCAGGAGCAGTCAGGTGCCTTAACGACTGCATTGCTGTTAGTGACGGAAGACGTTCTGGTCCCACTCGTCTTCACAAGTAGAGGACTCCCTATAAAACTGATTCCCTTCATCCCCGGCATGGAGAGGGGAAGGGAAACCCAGTAGGGAATCAGCGACCTCGTCCTGGCCGATGGGGGTCCCAAACAAGCCAGGATCGTAAGCCAAATCGGAAACCAGGGCTCTGAAGCGTTTGAGGGCATTTGAGGAAGGATGCCGTGATACCATGTCCCCACCCCCCCCAACCTTCCAGCCTTTAGGCCAAATGATCTTTGATGCTCTTAGAAAAAAAGAGCACCCACATCTCATTCCTGATGGATTTCCTCCACGAGGCAAGATTCCTGGCTTAAAGCGACGTGAGAATCCCGGGCCAGTTTTTCCAAGTTCTGCTAGTTGCTAGGAAGGAGCATCTGGGCAGAGGTGGAAGGCCGCCCTCGTTCTTTTGTGGGGCAGCCGGGGGTTTCCTTTTTCTGCGCCTGCCCCATAGAAGAACGAGGGCTGCCTTCCACAGCTGCTAAGGTCCCCTAAAAAAATAGGGGGGACCCACCCAACAGGACGAGCAACATCCTGGGCGCCCTTGTGACTCTGCCTGATGCTGTGTGGTACCCAGAGCATGACTCCGTCTGGGGGGTCCCCCCTCCCAGGTTTCAGGACAGAACCCCCAAACCTCTCAGTTGTTCTGCCCCGATCTCCTCTAAGGCAGCCCCCCGTGCGAGGGTCACGGCTCTGGGGCCAGGACGGGACACAGAACAATGAAGCCAAGGGGGGGCAGCTGGAGAGACCTGGAGGGAGGGAAGGAAGGAAGGAAGGAAGGAAACACCCCCAGGCGCACGCAGCTGCCCACTTGCCTAGGTCGCTGGGCCTCGCAGTGATTGTCGGTGGGGGGCAGCGTGGGCTTGGAGGGGTGCACCGAGGCGGACATGGATTTCTGGTGCTGGCGCGGGCGCGCGGAGCTCACGGCGGCGGAAGCGGAGGCGGTAGAGGCCCTGGAGCCCGGAGTGGTTAGGCTGGCGGGGAGGGGGAGAAAAAATAAAATCAAGCCAGGGAGAAGCCAAGGAGTCCAAACCAAGGAGAGAAAATGAGGGTGGGGGGGAAGGAGGAGAGGAGAGGGGAAATGGGGGGTGAAGCGGGCTGGCGGATGAAATCTGCGGCGGGCCCCACCGACCATCCCAGACTATCGGGTGGGGCCAGCTGGTTATGGGGAGGCAGCTATGTCCTACCATTCCACTCCTCTCCTCTCCTCCCCTCCCCTTTTCTTTCTCCTTCCCTTTTCTTCTTCTATTTTCTTTCCTTTCCTCTATCTTCCTTTCCTTCTTCTATCTTCCTTTCTTTTCCTCTATCTTCCTTTCCTCCTCTCCTCTCCTTTCCTTGCTCCCTCCCTCCCCCTTCCCCTTCCTTCCTTTCCCTTCCCTATCTTTTCCTTTCTCCTTTCCTGTTCTTCTTCTATATTCCTCTTCTTTCTTCTATCTTCCTTTCCTTTCCTCTATCTTTTTTCCCTTTCCTTCATCTTCCTTTCCTCCTCTCCTCTCCTTGCTCCCTCCCTTCCCCTTCCTTTATCTTCCTTTCCTTTCCTTCCCTCCTACCAATCTTCTTTTCTTTCCTCCCTCCCTCCCTCCTTCTCATCCTATCCATTCCTTCATCAGCTAAACGGGTGGGGAAGAGGTCCCCTCAACCTGCCACGCCACAGAGGGAGCTGCCACAGAGGGAGCCGCCACGCCACAGAGGGAAGTCCACGGGCATTCTGGGGGAAAGCAAATATACAATACACAACCCTGTATATATGTATATGAGTCAAGCACCTCCACCCCCAGATGCAGCAGGAGGAGATGGAGGCGAATGGAGGCTTTCCGGAGTGCGGTGGGGTGGGGTAGCGAGGGCGATGAGGGGTGGGTGCATGACTCTTTGAAGCTTTGAAGGAACCAGGGGGTTGGGTCCAAAAGAAGAAAAAAAGGCACAAAAATATGTGTGTGTGTGTGAATGTCACAGGAATGAAGGGATGAGGCTTGCTCCTTGCTAGCTAAGGAAAAAATATCCCCGAGATCGTGAGAAAGGACTTATGGCTAGGAATTCAGGGGGGAGAGGGGCAGCCTGCAGGGGAAGTAAAGGAAGCCCCCCTCCTCTCTCTCACCAAATGGAGATGAAAGGAGGTGTCCTCACGCCCCCCCCCCCATCAGTCCAGGGATAGCATCAATGGATGCTCTGAAGCTAAGCGCAGGGTGGGGTGGGGTGAAGGTGGGGGTCTTTTCAGCAACCCTTCTGCACCTCCAAAAGGTATCCCATACGCAGGGGTCATTCCTGTCCGGAGGGGTGGCTTGGAAGGCTGGGTTCAGGTCACGGGGGTGGGGGTGGGGGGGACTTTGAAACGGGGTCGATTTAGATCCAACTACAGTCGATTTTAGATCCAACTATAGCGGTGGCTCAGTGGCTAAAACACTGAACTTGTCGATCGAAAGGTCGGCAGTTCGAATCCCTAGTGCTGCCACGTAACGGGGTGAGCTCCCGTGACTCGTCCCAGCTTCTGCCAACCTAGCAGTTCGAAAGCACGAAAAAAATGCAAGTAGAAAAAATAGGGACCCCCTTTGGTGGGAAGGGAACAGCGTTTTCCGTGCGCCTTTGGCGTTTTAAGTCATGCCGGCCAAATGACCACGGAGACATCTTCGGACAGCGCTGGCTCTTCGGCTTTGAAACGGAGACGAGCACCGCCCCCTAGAGTCAGGAACGACTAGCACATATGTGCGAGGGGAACCTTTTTACCTTTTTATAGTTTTGAAAAGGAGTTGCAATGTTTTGGGGGCAAGAGACGGGAGAGGAAAGCTACACCACTTTAAATAAAGAATAAAATACTTATGTAAAAACTAAATGATAAAAAAATATATGTAAATAAGCATTATTATTATTACCACCGATATTATGATTATTATTATTATTATTATTACTAGCACGATAGTTTTGCCAAAGTAAATGGACTTAGACAATACACCGTTGACTAAGCACTTGTGTATATTAAAGGGGAA